GGTAGAGCGACATCCTGAAGGCCAGTGTCGGCTCAGAGTGCACGTGATGCCCGGGAGAGTGAGGGTGGCCGTCAGAGACAGAACAGCCTGGTGGCTAGTCTGATGCAGACCAGAGCCCTGCTCTTACAGAGGGACAGAGACGTGTAGACTGACAATCTACACAGTGGTGAGGGAAGAGTGGGCAGCACTTGTCCTGGAGATGGGGGCGCACAGAATAGGGGCCTATGGCATGGGCCCTGGAGGAGCTGGTGAAGTTTTCTCAGGAGAGGAGGGTCAGGGGAGGGCAGAAAGAACCTCATGTAGACCACAGTGGTGGTGATGAGAGTGGCTTCCTGAGCAGGGTGGCACCAAGCGGGTTTTAGATTGCCCCAGGAGGAGGAGGGAGGGGGACGCAGTTCCTAGCAGTCTGCAGAAGAGTCACAGAAATTGGGGCATCTAAAGAGGCCACAGGGAATGTGAATGGCCCACTTGGGCTGGGGGCTCTGGCCTTCAGGGCTGTTTGGAGACGAGTTACAGGGAGGCAGTGGGAACCTTTGACCTCAAGGAGCTCACAGTTTGTTAGAAGGTGAGCAAAAGCCCACCATGCAGGTAGGGCAGGAGTGGTAGGTGCATGATTGGGAGCTCCCTCGGCAGGAGGAGGTTGGCTGGGTGCAATCAGGGAAGGCTGCCAGTGAGAGGCAGACCTTTGAGAACATGTGGGCTTTGAGTATGCCCAGATGCACAGAACAGTTTTTTTGGCAGAGGAGAGCACAGACACAGAGGTATGAATGCAGGAGCGTGCAGCACGTGTCCAGGAAGCATAGCCTGATGGGAGATGAGATTAGCCAGGTCTTTTGGCGTCAGACCCAGAAGCTTCACCCCTTCCCTTGTTGCATGGGTACTTGGAAACCACTGCAGCTTCCTGAGCTGAGGAGGGACACAGTTGGATCTGGTTTTAGGAAGACAGGTTAAGGCAAGAGTGTGCAGGGTAAATTTGAGGGGAAGGGCAGGCATCCCAGAGGCAGGAAGACCCTTTGAGAGGTGAGGTGCACACCCGGATCAGGGGTGTTGATGGCCTCAGCAGCAGACACAGGTGGGACCTAGTGACACTTCCGTTAAGTTGGGCCAAAGGTCTCATGCCACACTGCCAGTGTGGGAGGGGCCATTGATGCAAGAGCTCCCTAGGGCCTTGGTGACCCCAGAAGGCTTGCGGAGGGGCTGCCCAGGGTCAGTTGGGGGCAAGGAGGGCCACGCTTCTGTGTGTTGGGGTAAGCTAACATGTACCCAGCATCGGCACCAGCTTCTTCCCGTCCACTGCCCCATTTAGCCCTCCCTGCAGCCTTATGAAGTAGGTCCTGCTGTCATCCCCATTTTGAAGATGAGGAACATGAGACTCTGAAAGATACGGTGACTTGCCTTGGCGCACAGCTAGTACGTGACGGAACCAGAACTTAAACCCACATCTCCCTGACCCAGGCCAGTGTTTCAAAGTAGGTTACGGGACCCCAGAACTAAGAACAATGAGCTGATTTAGCAGGCACTTGCTCTGTGCCAGGCACATACAGGGGTCTTTGTCAGAAAGGCCAGGCACGTCTATGATGCATTTATCCCAGCTCAGGGACCTGCAGTGGCTCCCCAGGACCTAACCCAGTGGTCTTACCTCACTTTACAGATGAGAACTTTGACGCTTAGAGCAGATACGTTGCTGGCCCAAGCTGGGGTTTGAACCCAGGGCTGTGTTCTGTAACACACCTCACTGCCTCCTGCCCCGCAGGAAGGGCGGGGGCAGTCCTTTGTGCACAGGGAGGGTTCAAAGCTGGAGGTGGGAGAGTGAGCCAACCTGGAAGCTGCCTCAGGGCCAAGCCCAGTGGAGCTTCCAAGCTGACTGCTTGACTTTTTGTCCCCCTTTGGCTCTGTGAGTACAGATCCTGTGCCTGTTCACTGAAGAAGGGTGTGTGTGTGTGTGTGTGTGTGTGTCCATCCGTGTGTCCCCGTGTCCCCTGCCCCAGGCTGGCTGCAGGTACAGATAGAGTTCAGTTCAGGATCGGGCCTTCTCTCTCGGTCAGCCTGGCCCCTGGGTAACCTCTGGCCTGAAATGAAAGGCTTTCCAATAAGTGCCTTGCTGGCCTGCTGCCCAGCTGCGTGGTAGGTGGGGGCCGGGGTGAGGGACCAACCAAGGAGCGATGGAGGAACCCGAGAGCAGGGCGGAACCCTGCCAAGAAATCCCTCAGTGCGGCTTCTCAGCGGTGCCTCGGAGGCATCTGGGGAGGAGAGCTGGTCGCCAGGAGCCCTGGCTGCCCTCCTGGCCCAGCCTAGGCCCTGGGGCCTCCGGGCTCAGGCTCAGCCCAGGGAAGAAGGGTGCGTGGGGTGAAAACACCAGGCAGCCAAGAGCGGGATTCGGAAATCAGATACTTGGATTCAGAAATCAGATACTCTGGGCCATGTCTCCCCTGGCCTTGGGCTTCTCTTCAAGCCTTCACTGGTCACAGCAGCCTCCTGCCCCTTGCGGGTGGGGCAGGGTTAGCAATCAGATCCGACTGTTTTGACAGGGTATTGAGAGAACTTGGGTTCTTCTCCTTTGGTCTAATCCTGGGCACGTCCCAACCCCTCTCTGGGGGTCCTCTATGAAATTTAGGGGCAAGGCAATGGGATCTTAAAAATCCCCTCGGGGACACCTGGGTGGCTCAGTGGTTGAGTGTCTGCCTTTGGCTCAGGTCGTGATCCCCAGGGTCCTGGGATCGAGTCTTGCATCAGGTTCCCTGTCCCTGCAGGGAGCCTGCTTCTCCCTCTGCCTATGTCTCTGGTTTTCTCTGTGTCTCTCATGAATAAATAAATAAAATCTTTAAAAAAAAAAATCCCTCCAGGCCCTTAAAACACCAAGTGTGAGGCCTTGTTTATAGGCGTCAGAGCCAAGAAGACAGACACCAGGTGGGCACACGGTGGCCAGGTGCATCTCAGCATCTATGCATCTATGGCACATCAGTGTTTCTGTGCCTCACTACCTGTTTACCTCACAGGAAAGCCTTCCCATTCAGCCTTCGGCCCGCACAGGGGAAGCAGCCAGCTTAAACCAGGAAAGATCAACTGTGTTTGGCTTTGAGTGTTTTCCTACCAAATCCTTCAGTGAAGGAGGGGTTGACATTCTGGAAATTCACTTCAACCTGAATACTGAAACCATCCTGGGATGCCTGACTCTGGATTGGGATGTCCCTGCTTCTGGAAGTGGATTCTAAAACCTCCAGCCTTATGGGGCACGTAGGTGGCTCTGTCAGTGAAGCATCTGCCATCAGCTCAGGTCATGATCTCAGGGTCCTGGGATCTAGCCCTGCATCAGGCTCCCTGTTCAGCCTCTGCTTCTCCCCTCCATTTGTACATGCATTCTCTTTCTCTCTTTTTCAAATAAATAAATAAAACCTCCAGCCTTATCCTTCTCCCAGTTTCTCCTGATTTCACTCCTATCATTTTTCCAGGCCATGCCCTTTATCAGACCTTGCCTAGCATAGAGAGGCAAGTTTGAGTTTCGGGAGTCTTTGCCTGCAAAGTCAACACAAGCAGCAGTAAGGAAAGCAGTAATTAAGGATATTAGATGCTAACTCTGAATGAAAGGGGTACCTACAAAGCCCAAGCTTATGCTTCAGACCCTAGAGGGGCTCAGCACTATTAGTGAGCTCCAGAGCTCTGCTGGGGGAAGGTGGAGGCTGTGGTTCTCACTGCTTTTTGAGCCTCTGCAAGGAGGACACTGAAGAAACAATCAGTCCTCTTAAGCTACATGCTGGTGTCTAAAGGAAATTGCTGCTACCTATAGTTTTAAGGAGTTGATGGAAGGTGGCTACCTCTTCCAGGAAGCTCTCCTGATAGCTCCCAGGCACATCTCTTTCTCCCTCCTTTCCCCCTTCACAGTATTTTGCACTCAGGACCTGGTTGTGCCACATGGAGAGGCCTTCCTCATCACTCTCCTGCCCAGCCCACGTTGTGGAAAGCTGTGATATTTTGCACCATTATCTCAGCCCTTATTCCCAGGACAAGAGTCTAAGGCCCTGTGGAGGGGCCGGGTCTCTTAGCTCATGCTTTCTGTACTCACCATCCCAGAGCAGCCATAAAATCTTAGCTTTGTGCCTCTGTTTGGTTTCTTTGCCCAAACTTTTTTTTCTTTTTTTTTTTTTCAAATAGAAATACATTTCTGGTTATAAAAATAATCCATAAGCTGAAGAAATCAAAAAGCACCTATAATCCCAGCACTTGGAGATAACCATTGAATCACATCCTGCCAGACTTAGTTCTGTGCAAGCTCATCGACATTTGGCATACGATAAAGAAATTATATTGTGCTTTTTCCTCTTTTTTTGCAACCTACATTTTCTCACTTAACAGATCCCAATAAGCACAGGTCTACCTCACCTGCATGGATGACTGCATAGTGTCCTATTTTATATTTGAGCCACATTTTATATAATTAACCCCCTATTGTTGGATTTAGAGATTTTCCCCCAACTTTTCTCCATTATAGACAGTACTACAATCAATCCCTTCCTGGATAAATATTTGTGAACATCTTTTTTTTTTTTTTGGTCTTAGAATAAAATAAAGAATGGAATTGAAAAGTCAGAGGACTGGCATATTTATTAAGATTTTGTAAACCAAATGCCAGTTCACTCTCTCCCCAGTGTCACAGAAAAGTGGTGGGTGCCTGACTGGCAAGGATGGTTGACTTGCTGGCAGATGTGAGTGGACTAAGGCCTGGGAAGTGGTTTGACCTGTGAACTCGGTGTCCCAGCCAGCTGCCCGCTGTCTGCTGCCCTGAGGAGGAAGCAGCCGGGGCGGGTAGAAAAAGGGACGCTTGCCCCTGGACTCCCCTTCGAAGACTGGTGGCCCTCGGGTCTCCCTGGATTGTCCCTGGGCCATCCTTGGCCTGCCAGCTTGCCCAGGCCTTTACAGGGGGCCTAGGGAATGGTGGCTTGTGTGGCTGGGGATGGAAAGGACAGGAACGAGCCTGGGTCATGCCTCAATCTCTGTGCCTACAGGAGGCCTCAGTGGGGCAACCATCATTGACTCCCTTGACACCCTCTACCTCATGGAGCTGCAGGAGGAGTTCCAGGAGGCCAAGGCCTGGGTTGAAGAGAACTTCCACCTGAATGTGGTGAGTCAGAGACCCTTGGGTTGTTAGAGCCAAAAGGGGCCTGGAAGGTGAGTGGGCAGCTCCACCCTATCACTTCTGAGACCCAGAGACTCTGGCCCCACACTGCACAGCAGAGCAGTCCTGGAACCGGGGCTCTGTGCACTCTGTGTAGTCCCCTCTGCCGAGGCCAGCCTCAAGGTAGGGGATCACTCCAGCCTGGGCCAGCCCATGAGTATTTATCAACCTCTTCTCCCCTGGGAGGGAAGACAGCCAGCGACCCCTCCTCCCCCTCCCTGAGGTGCCAGGCACCCCGGAGGTCCCTTTGAGGGCTGAAGCTGTCACACAGAACAGGTGCAGCAGAGGAAGTAAATGTGGAGGGGAGAAGTGGCTTATCTGCTCAGAGCTGCTTTAACCTGGAGCCCCCACCCCACCCACAGCTGCCCTCTAGAGATAGGTAGGAGGATGGGGAGCATCTGGAGGACAGTGACAAGGACAATGCCTAATTCACAGGCGAGTTGTGAGGATTAACTACCGTGGAGGGTTATAACAAGCATTATAACACTATCAGGTCTGATACGGATGTAAGGTGGTATCCTCCTCCTCCTCAACACCATTGTTTTGAGGCATGTTAGGCCTGGTAGTCTGTGTGAGGAAGCTTAGAATCCTTCCGTTTCCTGCCATATTGAATGAGAGAAAGGCCAAGGTGTCTTCACAGGCCCACCTTGCCCCTGTGCAGATGTGGATAGAGAATGAGCATCTGGCAGCTACTGTGGTTCCAGGAGCTGGCAAGTCCAGGGGAGCCTGGGGACATTCGAGCAGGAGCAGGCTGTGGCAGGTTAGGGAGGGTCCTTGGAAGAAAGCAAGATGGGGTCACATCCCCTCTTTGGGCCTTGGCTTTCTCATCTGGAAAATGGAATGATGACCTCGCTGAGCACTGTAGGCTACAAGAATGAACAGCTTTGTGGTGCTCTGTCAGTGGAAAGGCTCTGCCACTTGAAGGGACGGTCGTTGTGGTCAGGAATAAAAGACTGTGATGTGGGGATCACTGGGCGCAGGAGAAGTAAGTGCAGACACCTTTAGGAAGCCGCACAGGGTGCCAGGGAGGGCGGGGCTGGGTGCTGGGCCAGCATCTCACCTGTACCCCTCAGCGCCTCACAGCCGCCCTGTTCAGGATGAAGAGCCTCGGGCAGACAAAAGCTAGAGATCTTGCCTGAAGTCCCAAAGCCAAGTAAGAGGCCAAGGTGGGATTTTAACCTAGATCTGGTCCTTGGAGTGATGGCTCAACACCACTGATTTGCAGTCCAGACCTAAGAAAGAAAACCCTGATTAAGGCAAGTGTGGACTTGTCCTAAGGGCTGCAGAGCTGAGGCTGAGGATTGCTGGTCACCTGCAAATGTCTGCCTGGCATCCCTCCATCTCAGCCTCAGCTTTGTCCTGTTTGCCCCAGAACCTCCTTGGAGAACCTTCCCTTTGCCCTCTCATGTCACCCCAAGGAAGGGCCCCCCCCCCTCCTCCTGCTAAGCCAGGAAGTTCCCTCAGGAAGGGGAGGTGGCCGGCTTAGAGAGTTTGCCTCCCCTCAGGCTAAGCTTCAGCCAGCGGCTCCCCACCAAGTTCTTGAGCTCCTTGGAGAGCAGCCAGGCATAACTTTGCTCCCATGGCCTCGGGCAAGGCTAGGGAAGGAAGCCAAACCCAGCGTTTATTTGTAATGCTGTCAACGTGCTGTAGTGGCCTGCCAAGCAGGTGCTGATCCCTCTCAACTTCTGCTCTGAAAACCAGCACCCAGCATATCCGGGCCTGCTAGGCAAGGCCCTGGAGCTCAGCACCCAGCACCAGTGTGGCCAGATCATCGGGGTAGGGAGCTATGGCTGGAGTGACCTGTCTCAAGGGCCTAGCTGTCCCTGGGAGCCTTGCAGTCTTCTCACAAGTGTCCTCTCACCCTACCCCCACCCTCCTCTTTCCTGCCACCCTGCAGAGTGGAGAAGCATCCTTGTTTGAGGTGAACATCCGGTACATCGGAGGACTCCTCTCAGCCTTCTACCTGACTGGAGAAGAGGTAAGCTGGCCCTGTGAGGCCCCTGAACCCTTCAGGTGTGAGGCGGCTCTGGAGAATATGCAACCCCACTCCCTCATTTCACCAGTGAGGAACCAGGGATTCAAGGGGATTTGCTCCAGGGCTACCCATGTCCACCCAGCCTCCATGGTGCCACCTGCAGGCTCTTCCTCATCTTCAGTCTGCTGCTTCCATTCTGCTGCCCAGGTGAGCCCCACTGGCTCCCACAGTTGCTAGTAAATTCTCTAAGGACGACCACTAGTCTCTTCCTACCATCCATGCAGCTCCTTGCACAGCCACCCAGCAAGCTCTGGGCTGAGCACGGGCTTGTAGAGCCGCTGGACTGGTTTTTGCAGATGTTGGTTTTCAGAATTGATAAAGCCAAGACCATTGTTTCGTGATTTTCACCCCTGGGGGCCCTTGGCCTTGTCCTGCTCCACAGCCACCCCACTGCTGCCTGCCTGGCCCAGCCACCAGCCTTCACTGCTCCAGGTAGGAGCACTGGTCTCAAGGGGCAACAGGGAGAAGGGGCAGCCGCTGCTGGTCAGGTGTGCGAAGTGCAAGGGACTCTGGCCCCAGGCAAGCTGTGTTGGCTTCCAGCAGGAGGGCTGAAAAGTGTGGGGAGGGCAGAGCCCTGGGCATGGAGTCAGAAAACCTGGGTCTTACCCACACCACCCCTGCCTGTGACCTTGAGCTAGGCCTCTCCCACCCCTGGGCCTTGCTTCCTTCCCCACCATGGGGATGGGCTCACAGAGCTCTTGGGAAATGGGATGGGAGGGATGAGGCTTGACGCTGAGCTGACCAGCTCCAAAGCTCATATTCTTCATGCTGCAAGAAAATTTTGAAGACCACAGAACTCTGCAGAAATGAGAGGCTCTTCATCGCATCGTCCACCCCCATGAACGTGCAACACAGCCCAAGTATTTGGGTGTGAGGTTGACCATGTCCCCAGGACATGGGTCCTCCCTCAGTTGTGTTCCTCATTATCCAGAGGGCCACACTGCTCAGCACAACCCCTGCTCTAGGGCTAGACACCTTGGCTTTGGCCCTTTCCCTTCCCTCCACCTCTCCCTGCTCTGCCCACCCAGAGAAAAACCCCTGCTAACTCCCAGCGCTTGTTGTCTGAGGAGGTCATTTCTGCTCCCCTGCAGTTTAAGGCTGCAGCTGCAGGGGTTCGGAACAACAGGAGCGTGCTCTCCCTCCCCAGCCACTTTGGGCCTCTCCAGCAGCCTCCTCTCTTCAACAGAGATTACCACTTGTGGCAATTTGTCCCCAAATAATTGTAGTTGGGAGCCCTTGGCTTTGAGCCACATAATGCCTGAATTTCATTTGAAAACCCTAGGACATGGAGCAGAAAAAGGCACCCTGTTGGTTTGAGTACTTAGCCAGCCTCCCTGCCACTCCTGGCCATGGGAGGTGGCCACAGGTTGTGGGGGTGGGGAGGTAGTTGTGCAGCTCTGGGCTCACAGGAGGTCTATTTGGGGGCCAGCGACTGAGGGAGGAGCTGGTGCCCTTCAGCCCTGATGCTTGACCCCCATTCCTCCCTCCTCTGAGGCTATCTGTGATTCTGAGAACTTGTTTGAGGCCTCGGCTATCTAGTGATCTAGTCTGGCTGGGTCTGAGGACCCAGAGGAAGGGAGGGCCCCCAAGGGGGCCCTTGGCTTCATGCAGGATAGAAATCAAACGTGAGCCAAGAGGAAGTGAGAGCAGAGTTTGTTGAAGACATAGAGAGAGTGCAGGTACAGACAGAGCATCTGGGAGACTCGGAAAGGAAAAGGAAAATAAGTCTCTTCTTTGCTTGGGAGCTGAGTGTTCTATTGAGGATTGTGGTCCGATGTACATGTTCTCTCAGGCATCTGGGAGCTGGTCAGAACAAGAACGAGGGTCCAGGGGCCCTGCATAAGTCACTTATTCCTTGGAGCCAGGGAGCCATGGCATTGAGATGTCTAGTATCAGTATCTAGAATACACACAGGGCAGCCTCACCTGGTCATTCTTGCGCAGTCATTCCTTAGATGGTATCTCTTATGCTAGAAGACTCCAAAGGATCATTGAGTCCTTGATCCTTACAAGGAGGGCTACATCATGTATACCATAAGGTGTGTGTAAAGCAGGGTGCAGGTGCTAGCAGGGATAGACAGGAAGAGGAGCCTAAAAAGCATCCTTCATGGGTCACTTCAGTTTCCCAATATCACCAGAAGGATCATCATTCTGACTCTCTAGGAAAGAGACTGGACAATGGGGCATGGACAGGAGCACCTGGGATTTAGAAATCCTTCAAAAAGCCCAGGGAGCCCCACAAAGCTCCGAATCCCTGACCAGACAGGTCCAACTCTGTCCTCCAGCCCCTGCTGATCCCTCTCTGTCGCTAGCACCTCTGCAGGGCAGAGACCATACCCCATGGGCTCTGTCTCATTGGTCCCAAACACCCCCATATGGTGGGATCTTCACCTACTAGCAGATGCGGGAATTGAGACTTAGAAGGAACTTGCCCAGGGTGCAGTCCCTGAAGGCTGGTTTGGGTCCCCAGGGCTCAGCCACACTGGACCAAGGCCTCCCCCTTTTCTGTCCTCCATCTCACACACACTGGGTGCCTGTGGACTAGGTCTTAGGATTCTTCAAATTTCCTACAAATGTTTGTGGAATGGTGCCTGAGACCCCAAGCCCCTTCCTGGGCCAGGCGTTTCTTTGCTGCAGAGGGAACCTATGGGAGGAGACTCCCCCGCTGGGTAGGCCATTCCTACAAATCGCCCATGAGAATGGCAGGCGTGATGACAGCCACACCAGGTGACCTTTGCATAGCTCTTCACAGTCTATGTAGCACATTCACTCATACATCCTCTTACCTGATTTCTAGAAGAACCCTGTGAAGCATCCAGGGCACATGCACAGTTCCATTGTGTAGATGAAGGTCAGAGACCCTATGTAGCTCACACGAGGTCACACAGCTGCAAAGTGGGAAGATTTGAACCTGGGCCCTCACTCCCAGCCCAGAGGACTTAACACTCTACAAAATATAATTCTTGCTAAGTTTCTCTCACCTTGGTTCTGGAACCTCTGGGCCCCTGACTGTTGCTTACCATGGCTGTCTGTAGCCACATCTGTTGGAAAGGCAGTTTGGTATCACTTAATAGCCCCACAACCTTGGGCAGATTGCTTCTCTGGGACTCAGTTGTATCCTCCTCAAAGTGGTCAACACCTTGCCCACACACACTGTTGCAGGGATTGAAGGTCCTGTAGATAAGACACCTGGCACAGTGATACGCTGTGATTTATAATAAGTAATATATATTTGGTCTTCATCCCATTTCTGGCAGACCTCCTAAAACCCTGGGAATTTCCTAAGCGCTGAGAGCAATAAATGTGTCTTTTGTTATGGTAATTGGGTGACTTGGACCCCACCTGAGGATACAGGCTGGTTGCCAAGAGACCCAACCACAAGGTGAGAGGGTAGTTATTTTCAGTTCCACCACCCTGACTTCCAGGGAAGGGAGAGGGACTCAGTGTTGAATCAGGAGTCAATTGGCTGTGGTTTAATTAGTCGTGCCCATATAATGAAGCCTCCATAAAACCCCAAAAGGAACTGGGCCACAGAGCTTCCAGGGTGGCGGAGCACCAGATGTGGGGAAAGCGCCATACCTGGAGAAAGCATGGAAGCTCCTCTGTGCCCCTTGCCACATACCTCGCTTTAGGCATCTCTTCCGTCTGGCTGTTGCTGAGCTATATCCTTTTATAATAAACCTGTAATCCAGTAAGTAATATGTTTCCTGAGTTCTGTGAACCACTCTAGCAAATTAAACCCACAGAGGGGTTTGTGAGAACCTCTGATTTATAGACCATTGATCAGAAGCCCAGGTAACCAGCCAGACTCAGGACTGGTGTTTGAAGTGGGAGAGGGGAGGGGCTGTGGCTGTCTTGTAGGATTGAATCCTCAAACTGTGGAATCTGATGCTATCTCCAGGAAGATAGCGTCAGAACTGAGTTGAATTATAGGGCACCCAGCTGGTGTCTGGCGAATTGCTCGGTGGCATAGGGAAACTCTCCCACACACACACACACACACATAGTGGAATTGGGTTCAGAATCTGTTCCACACCTACTCATTTCCAAGAGAATAAGTAGGACTTATATTCTTCTGTTCCTGGTGATACCACTCTTGTCCACACATACTCATTCAGCATCCTTCCTGGTGTGGTTGAAACCCTGCAGGGCCCGCCAGCAGGAGGGCTTTCCAAAGGTAGAGACATGGACATTCCTAAGAGCCTTGAAGAAGATTTAGCAAGGAGTCCTCAGGGCAGAGGGCAGCAGGTCAGCTGCCTGGATCCTCAGCATTGGGTTCAGGTGCCAGGGGTTTCCTCTGTGCCTCTGCACTCAGCCTCCTCTGAGTCAAGTGACAGTATCAGGAGCTTCAAATAAGGGCCGTTTGTTGTTGCTAAGCCAGTGGCTCTGGGGCAAGGCTTTGGAATCTGGCTTCTAGACAAGCTCCTGCAGGGCCTCAGCTGCAGGTGGCCCCCGGGCCCACTTCTGGGACAGTGGACACTGTCCTCTTCTCTCCTCCATCCCTGCCAGGCCCCAGGTGCGGTTCTTCCCATCTCACTCCCTCCCCTCTTGGGCGAGAACCACAGCTGCCCTCAGAGGCCTCGCAGCCCCATCCCAGGTGGTACAGGGAAGCCCTCCCTGCTGCAGTCCCTCCACGGCTGCCTTGGCAGTTCAGCTGCACATCTCGGGGCCAGGGGACTCAAGAAGACTTTGTTTGGCAGCACTCGGGAGGTCAGCAAACTGGCTCCCCCGTGAGCTCGGAAGTGAAAGGAAATGTGTGTTGTTTGACCTGGAACAGTTGCTAAGGAACTTATATCTCATGTTTTAAAAAATAAATAATATTTACTCTGAGGGGGCAGCCCTGATGGCTTAGTGGTTTAGCGCCACCTTCGGCCCAGGGCATGATCCTGGAGGCCCCTGGATCGAGTCCAAGGTCAGGCTCTCTGCATGGAGCCTGCTTCTCCTTTTGCCTGTGCTTGGCCTCTCTCTCTCTATTTCTAATAAATAAATAAAATCTTAAAATATATATATATATATATATATATATATATATATTTTATTGTGGGTTTGCTTTTATTATAAAAATAGCACAAGAGAGACAAGCCAAATGCAGAAAACAAAATTCCTCCATAAGCCTACTCCACACCCCTAGGAGAGCATTGTTAATATTTTGCTGTATTTACTTCCCAACCTTTCCTCACGCATCCAGCGTGCATATAATTTTTACTAAAGTTGATTGCACTATATCAAAATATATTTTTCTTTTAACAAACTACAAACCCTTTCTTTGCTATTAGTCTTCTACATCATTCCAGTGGCTGCATGGTATTGTGTTGCATGAATAATCCTAATTTAATCACTTCCCTATTGTTTGATATTTAGAATATCTCTGTTTTTCCACTGTTACAAACAACACTGGAATAAATAGCCATAAAGTTAAGTTTTTACATCCTTGATGACTTATTTCCTTAGAATAGATTCCTAAGAGGGAAACCACAGCGTCAGAAGGTCACAGGTGCTTTTGTTTTTTGTTTTTTGTTTTTTTTTTTAATAATAAATTTATTTTTTATTGGTGTTCAATTTGCCAACATACAGAATAACACCCAGTGCTCATCCCGTCAAGTGTCCCCCTCAGTGCCCGCCACCCAGTCACCCCCACCCCCCGCCCTCCTCCCCTTCCACCACCCCTAGTTCGTTTCCCAGAGTTAGAGTCTTCCATGTTCTGTCTCCCTTTCTGATATTTCCTACCCATTTCTTCTCCCTTCCCTTATATTCCCTTTCACTATTATTCATATTCCCCAAATGAATGAGAACATACACTGTTTGTCCTTCTCTGATTGACTTACTTCACTCAGCATAATCCCCTCCAGTTCCATCCACGTTGAAGCAAATGGTGGGTATTTGTCGTTTCTAATGGCTGAGGAATATTCCATTGTACACATAGACCACATCTTCTTTATCCATCATCTTTCGATGGACACCGAGGCTCCTTCTACAGTTTGGCTATTGTGGACATGGCTGCTAGAAACATCGGGGTGCAGGTGTCCCAGCGTTTCATTGCATCTGTATCTTTGGGGTAAATCCCCAGCAGTGCAATTGCTGGGTCATAGGGCAGGTCTATTTTTAACTCTTTGAGGAACCTCCACACAGCCGTTCAAAATCTTTGGGATACAGCAAAAGCAGTCCTGAGAGGGAAATACATCGCAATACAAGCATCCATCCAAAAACTGAAAAGAACTCAAACACAGGTGCTTTTGAATTAGAACAGGGCCCCTGGGTGGCTCAGTGGTTGAGCGTCTGCCTTTGACTTAGATCCTGGGATCGAATTCCGTATTAAGCTCCCCACAGGGAGCCTGCTTCTCCCTCTACTTGTGTCTCTGCCTCTCTTCTCTGTGTCTCTCATGAATAAATAAATAAAATCTTAAAGAGAGAGAGAGAGAGAGAGAATTAGAACAGTGTGAGGGAGTCAGAGCTTTCCACAAGGCCCTGAGGCCTGGGGCCTCCTTATGGCTCCTTGGCCATCAAGTTAGGAGTTTAACCATTCACCTTCTCTGCTCACTCCCATCTGTAAAATGGGATGGTGGGTAGATTCAGAATGTCAAGGGAGAAAGGCCCTTCCTCTGGTTTTGCACATGGGGTAGCAGTGCTTTGCTGAGAAGCACACAGCAGCAGCCAAGCCAAGAGAGAAGGACTGGAACCAGGGGCCAGGCAGGGCTCCCAGTCCAGTGATCTTCCCACTCTGTCAAGTGTGCTTCCACATGCCCCGCCTGTGGCATCCTGGTCCTGTGGTGTGGGCAGGCACCAGCCGTTGGTGATCACTGCCCTGGCTGCTTCATCCTACCGGTGGCCATCCCAAAGCACAACTAGAATCATGGAGCCTTCATCATAGTCCTGACACTGTCATTTGGGCTCTACAGCTATTACCTAATTGTCATCCCTCCTCCCAGCAGCCTCTGAAGGAGGCAGTATTGGTCTTATTTTTTGAGTGAGAAGGGCATTGCGCTCAGAGGAGGTGCCTCGGCTAAGGCCACGTCTCCAGGAATGTCTATAGAGTCCAGAACCTGACACAGCACCCCTTCCCTCTTTGGGCCCACAGCTCCTGGGTTACCCCCAGCAGGAGCAGCTTGGGGCAGGGATGGTGCCCACCCAGGCTGGTTCATGATTCCCTGTGCCGCTTCCTTTACAGGTGTTCCGAGTAAAGGCCATCAAGCTGGGAGAGAAACTCCTACCAGCCTTCAACACCCCCACGGGAATCCCAAAAGGTGTTGTAAACTTCAAAAGGTAGGACATCTTCTGGTTTCCCACTTGTGGCTTTGGCTGCATCTGTGGAAATTGAGGCACAGGGAGAGGACAGGACCTGCCTTGGGAATCAAAGCAAGCCAGTGGCACAGTGGAGACTAGTCTTAGCCTCGGGCTCTCCAGGGCTGATGTTTGTCACCAAACAAACATCACATCTGCAGCTTGGGATTCATAAGGCCTGATCTTCCCTAGGTGAGAAGTGATCGTCCCCCAATGCTGCCTTGACTCACAGCCCTACAGGTGTGCCCAGCTAGGGTCAGGAGCCAGCAGGTACATCACACCCTCCCACCACGACAAGGTACCCCAAGCTGCTAGGAGGTCTCAAGACCCTGAACAGAGGGACCACTGGGCTGGGTCTCCAGAACCCAGTATCCGAACCGAGAGGGGCTTCTGGGGGCGTCTAGCCCACGGAGGCTTGGACTCCAAGGAGAAAAGGCCTTGGCCAAGGTCACGTAAGCCAGTAACTGACCATTCCAGGACACAAACCCAGAACTTGCAACTCTGTTTTTAATAATACTTATTGGAATATTCCCCTCTTTAAAAATAGTAAATTCTTACTGCAGAAAATGTGGATTATATCAAAAGTGTTAGATAAGATCAGAGAACTCCCATGTGGTTCCACAAATCAAAGAAACCATGGACTGGCAATGCTTCTTTCTACTGACTTGCTTTTAAAACATTGATTCTTATTGGCTCCTTCCATGGTTTCCCTTCCTCATCTACAGCTTAATTCAGTGTATGAACTGGAGACTTTCTGGGTAGTCACTAAGTCACAGAATGTCAGAGTGGAAGGGACCCTGGGCGATGCAATGAGAGAAGCATGGAGCTGGGGCTGCCACTGAATCCAGCTCCAAAGCCTGTGGGGGCTTCCCTGCCCCCTGCGTGGCTGCACTTCCCTGTTGTGGGAATAGGAGTGTGTTTGTATCCGCTCATTTTCCAGATGCAGCGATTGAGACCCAGAGAGGGGAAGGGATGGGGTCAGAGTCAAGAGAACTAATGGCCAGCCAGCTTTTCGATCTCTGAATCTTTATAAAGCATGAGTCTTGCTCCTGGGGACCCTCAATGCCCCATTGTCTTGCCTTTCCTCACTCTGTTCTTCCACTGGTCGCCTTCCTCAGACGGCTTCCCTGGTCGGCAAAGGCCAGCTCACCTGCCACCTGTGCCGTCAAGCCAGAAGCGTTTTAGTCTCTCCTGGCCTGCAGGCACTTCGTCTGCTTCCTTATGGCCTCATCATGTGCCTCTTCATGGTCCCTGCTGGCCTGGGAGCTTCTGGATGACAGGATCCATGTCCATTTCTTTGCTCATTCCTTCAATAAATAACCGTGCTAGGTACTGTGTGCAGGATAAAGGATTAACAATGACTCTGTGCCTACCCCTTACTGAGCAATTCTATGGCCCTGGCATTGTGCTAAGGGTTTCCATTCATTGCCTCACCAAGTATTCCTCACAGCAGACCCTTTGAGGGTAGATATTTATATTATCCCCATTATTCAAACAGAGTCTTGGAGAGATGAAGTAACTTGCCCAAAGCCTTATGGCTAATAGGTAACCAGGGCTAAGATTTAAACCAGTTTTGTTACAGATTGAAAGCTCTGCTCTTAATGCCTGCCTGGCCCTCCCTCAGACAGTAACCCTGCTGCCCCAGTGCCCAGGAGCTCCCTGGGGCCGTACTTGAGGCTCTCCGACACCCCCAAGTCTGGGAGGAAGGCTGTAATATTTCCCTCTCACCAGACTTCTCTGTTCCATCTCCTAAAGTGATGTCTTATGTCAGGATTCTCGATCCAACAGTAGCTCCTGCAAGCTGCCTGGCAGGGAGTCAGGGGCCCCGGGCTCTGGTCCAGTGCCTCAGTTTCTCTCTGTCCTGGGGTGGGTAGGCCTGCCCTGCTGGGGGCCTCGCAGGGAAGAGGGGATTTGCCGAGTCAGCCACTTCCCTTATAGTCTGTGCTGGGAGAGCATTCCTAGGGTGTGGCCTCACACAAATCTCACCAGAGGCCACAGACAGGCCCCCAGGGCCAATCAAATCCATTCTCGGTGCCAGGGTTGACTTCTCAGAGCCGGACATTTGGATCTCTGCTCAGATTCCTCTCCCACAAACACTGATCCTGGAGAAACACAGCCAGCCATCACGGAGCCGAGACACACACACACCATATCTTTGTTGCTCTCTCACCCAGGGCTGGTTTCTCCGGCCTCACTGCCTGGAGTCTAGGATAGGACCTTGGCTCATCCTTCCCCACTCTGTGCAGGGCACTGCCCACCCCCAAGGCCTGCAAGCACAGCCCTGGCTGCCTGCCCTAACCCTGTCCCTCAGAGCCTAGACTGGATGCGACACAGATCCTGACATTTCTGATTAAGAAAATGCATTTATTTTTAGGCTATTTGCATACTGCCAGTGCTGTATACATATGTATGTATATGCATATTTCCTGGCAACACCTCCCTTTCATTTTCTGGGTAAGAGAGTCTGTTGCTAAAAAACGCCACCCTGTTCCACCCAGGGGAATATCAGGGATGTTTGTGGCCCCAGTGGCTCTGAGTTTGCTCTTTGGAGAGGGCCTGCTGCTCGGAGCTGGGCCACACACCTCTGCTGCCCCTGCTCCCGGCAGGGCTTGCTGTGGGCAGCTCTAAGAGGAAGGGCCAGACTGGGTCCCAGCGGGAGGGCTAGATAACTAGGCCCTGCCCCAAAGTGAGCCTGACTGCTCCTCCTGTCTGGGAGGCAGAGGCAGGGACAACTGTGACCTGTGACCTGGGGGGACCACTGAATCTGAGACAGTGGCAGTGGCCAGTCCAAGGATTAATCTCTCTCACACACGCAGCCTCACACATGTCTACACACCTGATTGCCACCTACTCAAATCAGGCTGAGATACACATGTTGGCCTGAGTCACACACTTGCAGCCACACACACACAAGTGACAACAGGCCGCAGATCCAATCGCAGGCCTAAAAGACTGGGAGGGGGGGCAGAGGGCAGAGCTTCCACGAGCCCACTGCCTCACAGGGCTGATCAAAAGACCTCCTGGTCTCTGGATGCTGTCCAGAACAGATGCGTTTGGGACACAAAGTACCTAAGATTTGGATTCAGATTCAGTTCTACCAGTTCCATCACTTGCTGTGTGACCTCGGAGAAGTGTCTCCCCCTCTCTGAGTCTGAGCATCTTCACCTGTGAAATTAGAATCATGGTATCTACCTCCGGAGTTGGACGTGAAGATAAAATAAGATACTACAACTGTCTGGCACCCATCAGGAGCTCAATAACTCAAACGATAATTTTAATACACTATAAATACATGATTTAGATTGCATAATTGCATAATGTTAAAAATGACAGTTATTACATGCCTAAGTTATACCTCACGAAAGCCCTGGGAGGTGTGGGTACAGTTATTTAACAGATGAGGAAACAGGGCTAGAGAGATCAGCTGATCTGCTCGAAGTCGCCCGGCCCGGCTGCTGCAGGAGCCAGCATCTGAAGACGGGCAGGAGAGGGAAGGTGCCCGCCCACTGCCAGCGTCTGCCCAGCGCTGGCCTGCCTGTCTGCCAGGCTGGCTCCACTGCAGGAAGCCCACTCGGGAGGGAGGGAAGAGGAAGGAGAGGCTCATGTGGGAGAAAACGAGAGCAAAAGACTCTCTGAGCAAAAGACTCAGGTGGGTGACTGGTGGCTGTTTTGACCTTGAATTGCTATGAGGGCAGGAAGCATCCATTATTCAGGAAACCCTCCACGGGTACCCACGGCTCCCACTGAGATAGCCGGAGAGAGAAGTCTCTCTTGGCTTGGGGGTTGCGGGGTGGGGGGGAAGAGGGACAGAGAAGGGGACACCTTCACTTTCCCTCTGGGGGGATGTGGGGCCATCTGGGTGGGAGACCGTTAGGGGATGTGCAGAGCCCAGTCTGAATCCGGCCTCTGCCACCTCCCGGCTCCGACCTTCCAAAAACTTCCCTCCCTGAGCCTGTTTCCTCTTTGTATATTGGAATGAATGATGCTTTACCTGTGGGCTTTAAATGAAGTCAAGATGCAAACAGCTTGACCCAGTGCCTGGTATCTGAGTGGCTCAAAAAACAGAAGCCGTTTTATTTATTATCTAGGAGCCAAGTCTCCTTTCTCTGCCCATCCCTCCCCACCTGCCCATGCCCCTCAAGTCAGGGAAATACCCAAAAAGGTGGAACATAAAGACTCCTAACTCTGGGAAACGAACTAGGGGTGGTGGAGGGGGAGGAGGGCGGGGGGTGGGGGTGAATGGGTGACGGGCACTGAGGGGGACACTTGACGGGATGAGCACTGGGTGTTATTCTGTATGTTGGTAAAATGAACACCAATAAAAATTAATTTATTAAAAAAAAACATTCAAAAAAAAAAAAAGAAACTTTATTCAGGCCAGATAATGGAGCTGAGAGAGGAGAGGGATAGCCTCAGGAGAGCCCCAACCCGCCCCAAGGAAAGGGGTGCCCCTCAGATGGCAAACTGTGACCTCCCTGACCTGCCTTTGCCCACGCCTGCCTCCCTTCGTCCTGTTCCCAGCAGATGGACAGACAGAAACCAGTTCCTAGGGAGGCAGAGCTATCCCAGCAGGGAAGGGGAGGGGCTTCCCAGTTGCCAGGGCAGAGCCAGCCCCCTCAGCCTGCTCCTTAGAGCCCTTACAGATAGAGGAGGCCACTCCACCCTGCTCTGCCCCTACCTTGTCCCCCTGGTTGTCCTAAATGTCCCACAGGAAAGATCATCATGATACATATGAGGAGACTGAGGCTCGGGGAGAGGAAGCATCTAGCCCAAGGCTACCTCTGTTCTGCACTTTTCTCTTCCCTCTTCATCCCACAAAAGCCCTAGGAACAGAGACCAGGACCATTCACTCTTGCCCAGTTTAATGATGCATGAACTTAGGTGCAGAAGGTGGGGATGGTGTGCCCCAGGCCTCTCAGCTAACAAACTTGATCCTGGCCCCCTGGCTACAGAGATTGAAGTAAAAACACCTGAAAAGGCAGCATCCTTGCTTATTATTATGTAATTAAAAGAGAGGCAGACCACACAGTGGTTAGCACAAGCCCTGGCATCAGGCCAGCCTTGGGTCCCAGCTGCTCCACGTGCTGTGTGATGGCGAGTGGGTGGCGTCACCGCCCCAGGCCTTGTTTTCCTCATCTGTGAGAGGGGCAGATAGGACGACAACCTGCAACCCCACCTCTGCGCTCTTCCTCCTTGGAAGCACCCAGTACCTGGAAGCAGGACTGAGCCTCTCCAGTGAGGATCGGTCTGAGATGTTCATGAGACATTCATGATTGACAGCTGAGAAGCCCTTTGCTCCGAGAGCCCCTGTATCTTTTATTCCTAAACCTTGAGCCTCCCAGGGGTCCAGCAGCTCCAGACCTATGGTCATACCAGAGCCACCTGCCTGTCAGGTGTGGGTTCCACAGAATTCCAGGAGGGGCCATTGTGGGTCTTTGGGCAGTACTGACAGTGTGGGGAGAGGGAAAGGCCAGGTGGGGTCCCCACCTTTCATCTGCCCCCATTCGGACCCCCCACAGCAGTTTACCCTCCACACGCAGTGCCATTGACTGTGAAGCAGAAAGTGTTCTGTGGGGTCTTTGAGGTCCCTGTGCGTTGGTGATATCCCCTGTAAATTTAGCCTAACTTGAGTGCTGGGTCTTGGTCACCAAGGCAGCTCTGCCATCATCATTGAGCCCACACATCTCACAGGGGCTGCTTGGTGATAGAAACAAAGTGTGGGTGGACAGGCCTGGGTTCAAGTCACCCTTAGCAAGTCACTTCACTGCCCTCAGTGTCCTCATCAGCAAAATGGGGCTATTAGCAGTGCTGCCTCCCTACTAACAGGGAGGAGTAAGGGAGATCAGAAGCCACAGCTCCCAGGACAGGGCCTGGCACGTCGTAGTGTGTGCTCCCCCCACTAAGCCCCTGTTACTCTCAGCAGGGGAGCCAGCCCCCCCCCAGCAGACAGGTGATGGGGTGCTTCTGTCTTTCCACAGCGGCTCCAATAGGAGCTGGGGCTGGGCCATGGCAGGGAGCAGCAGCATCCTGGCTGAGTTTGGATCCCTGCACTTGGAGTTCTTACACCTCACCGAGCTCTCTGGCAACCAGGTCTTCGCAGAAAAGGCAAGTGTTCTCCCTGAATCCCCCCCCCCCCAAACAGCTCCTCCCTCTTCTCCCACTGAGAGCGCCAGGGCGGGGAAGTGGGGTCCCCCATCAGCAGAGGGGGGCCTCCAGCCACCACTGATACAGCCAGTAGCTGCTTGTGGAAGCCCTAAGAGTGCCTGAAGCCAGGTGGCAAGGAAGGTGAGCACAGGGAGTAATCGGGGTCCTACCAGGGCAGGGAGGAGATGAGACTGCCAGCGAGAGGTTTTCGCGAGGTTTTCACCGGCGGGTGTCAGCTCGGTGGCAACCACGCATATGTGAAATCTGGAGAGAGTGCAAGAACCGAAATCCAGGCACCAGCTCGTATTGGCAGGAATTGGCCACCAGGTGCAAAAGTCCCCTTTCCAGAGACAGTTAACTTTTTCATGTGAGATCGGCTGCCTTTTCCTTCCAGATGCCCGCCTAGCTCATGTTGTCAGCAGGCTGGCAAAGCGATTTCACTCTACAGCAGAGGCACAAGTCTGTCCTTCCTCATTGTTACGGAGCTGGCTAAGGCCGCGAGGGGTGCCGAGAGCTAGCATCCAGGGTGTCCGCCAGCCTGAAAGCTGCCCGCTCTGCACCTCTGTGAAGCCCTTCAGAAGAAGCAGCTCCTCCACATTACAGCCCTTGGCAGTCCCACTGTCTGGAGCTGTCTCCCAGGGTCTAACCCGAGACCCAAGGAAGGGAAGGGTACACACACCCCTCTCAGATGGCGCCCAGGCTCCATCAGCAAGTGTTCCTTCCTGAGTCCTGCCTAGGGAGATGAAATCCTCCCTCTTAGAAGAACCCTTTGTAGGCCTCCCGTTCCCAAAGCCTTCCGTTTTCTGAACATTAGACTCTTGGGGTGCCCAGGGAGCCGGAAGATCATAGATTCACACCTCCACCCAGCAGCTCCCAGTCTTGTGTCCATCAGCCAACCTCAAAGTGTGCCTGTAGGAAACCTACCTCTGGGCTGTGCCCAGGCCCGGGAATCTGCATTTATAACAAGCACCCATATGCTTTTTGATGCCAGATTTAACAGCACTGCTTATTTTTTTTTAATTTATTTATTTATTCACAAGAGACGCAGAGAGAGAGAGAGGCAGAGACACAGGCAGAGGGAGAAGCATGCAGGGACCCTGGTGTGGGACTTGATCCCAGGACCCCAGGATCACACCCTCGGCCCAAGGCAGGCGCCAAACCACTGAGCCACCAAGGGATCCCAAGAGCACTGTTTATTCAGTGTGGGAATCCCCCTGAGCATTCTTGGGAAGCTCAAGAAGAGCTCTTCAGTCCCTTGATCACTTCTCTGTGTTGGGGTTCTCTACCCCCCTTAAATAGGCTGTCATGTCAGACCTGCCTTCAGAAGCTTTCCCTTGTACAGGGAGGACTCTGGCATCCTGTGACACCCCACCTTGAAAATTCGTGGAATAAGTTCAGTCCCTTTTCCTGATAGGTCTTATTTCCTCCAAGCCCTCCCTCCCCCATGCTCTTGAGTCAAACTCCTCTGGGAAGGTTGTGACTGGCTGACGTGGAGTGGGACAGGGAGCTCCTTTAGTCCCTGGCTAGTCTGGACAAAGTCCACCTGAGCACCTGTTATGCATTGTATCTCTAACCATCCCTCCAAACCCTGAGGCGGGTCTTCCTTTTATCCACATTTTACAGAGGAGGAAACTGAGACTCTGACCTGGGTCATCCAGCTGGTAAGTGATAAAGCGAGGATTCAAGCCCAGGACTTTCTGACTCTGAAGCCCACGTTCTTCAAGACGAGATTAGTATAGCAGGCTTCAGGCTTTTCCCCTCAAGTCCATCTGCCTGTCTTTCTCTCAGTGCGTCTCTGCATTTACATTCTCCGGCTATTTTCATCCCCCAGTCATGCCTCCCACAGAGGTGATTATTGGCAGTCAACAAATTGGCCCAAATTCTAGAAGTACCCGTACCCTCCAGGGGAGCTAATTTAGCCTGCTTCACTGCTCACCACCAGGATAGTTGAGAATAACTCAGGTACAAGCACATTCCTGTCCCCTATAATGGACTCTGTTAACATAAATGGATATGAAATCTCATGTGGTAAAGCAAAGTGCTGTCCCCTGGAAAGAAAGGTCTGACAGCTAAAAAGGCTGCTCTCCTTGCCTCTAGCCTTGTAGATAAATCTACAAGCATGATATAGTACCATCCCCGAGGGCCTCTCTGTTCTGGTGGATTCTGTGCTGGAAGGATTTCATGTACTGCCAGAGAGCAGACCCCAAGGGATAAAATGCCTTCCTGCTTCTCATCCTTTGTAGCCTCAAAGGTTGCAAATCTAGCATCTTCTTGCTCCAGCCGGGGCAGCCTCTGCTATGTGTTACTGCGAGGTCCCTGCCCTGTCTAACCTGTATTGGACACAAGGGCTACTCTGTGTAGTCAGCCAAGACCTACCTCGTGTCCTGGCTCTGGTGCTTATGAGCTGAGTGACCAGGGGCAAGCCACTGAAACTCTGAGATTTGGGTTTGTCACCTGTTACACAGAGATAATACCACTAAGGGTTGGAGGTGATGTATGTAATGGGTCTGGCTTCGGAGGTCCGAGAAAAGTTAACAACTGTTACTGTTGTTGTTAACACCCTGAGGTGCATATGAGGGCAGGGGGTGTCGAGGAGCCCAGGCCTTTCCTCTGGAATGGTTCCAAAGGTGTCCAATACAATAAAATATTCCAAGGCTGAACCCTATGAAATTGCCAGTATTGACCATTTCTGACCTGTTTTTTTTTTTAAAGATTTTATTTATTTATGCATGAGAGACACAGAGACAGGGAGAGAGGGGCAGAGAGGCAGAGGGAGAAGCAGGCTCCATGCAGGAAGCCAGATGTGGGACTCGATCCTGGGACTGCAGGATGATGCCTTGAGCCAAAGGCAGATGCTCAACCACTGAGCCACCCAGGTGTCCCCATTTCTGACCTATTGAAAAGGCAGTTTGACCAAGCAATTACAAATGAGCTACTGTTGCTTATAGGAACCAACACCCTCAGAAAAGGTCCATCCCCCAAAGCAATGCACAGTGAGGAAGGGCTGAAGCAAGGGGGACATGGGGGCCTAGCAAGTCCCCAGACAAAGTGGTCAGTGCAGAGGTGGTGGCCAGCCACCCCGCCCCATTCCCACCCAAGGCCATGTCCAGCCATGTCCCATGCCTCTCACGCCACCTCCAGGCCAGGGCCAGCTGTTGGTAATACAGCTCTCCCTCCTGCCTCGTCTGAGTGGTTTCCTCTTGGATCCAAACACACTACCTCCATTGGCGGTGGCTGAGAGTCGCTGGCTTCTTCCAGAAAGTGAAGGTGAATCTGGTGTCCATTTCTTGGCAGGTCAGGAACATCCGGAAGGTCCTCAGGAAGATCAACAAGCCCTTCGGCCTCTACCCCAACTTCCTCAGCCCAGTGAGCGGGAACTGGATGCAACGTGAGTATAGAGATGCTACCCCCCAGCCAGCCTGATTGCCACCAGCCTCCCATGCCAGGCACCTGGCCAAGTGAGGAGGGACACGTTTATCAGAGCCGCAGGCCAGTGAGGCATCTGCCCCATGCCCCAGGGCACCACCCATCCTGCCAGGCATCGTGGGGAGCGAGCCTTCACTGTCATTGTGTTGTGTGTGCTACTGTGTGACATGTGTGGTGGCAGCCACCCGCCTTCTGCATCCCCTGCACACTCCGCATCTCCAGGCTTCCATCTCTTAGGGCACCACTGAAGTCTCTCTGGTCACCCCCAAACTTGTGGGGGCATTCTACATAGAACCATCTGCCTACTCCAGAAGTGGCCCCAGGAAAGACCGTGCATCCTCTCCCAGCCCCCAACCTGGTGCTCCACCTCCAATTTTAATCCTTTTTTTTTTTTTTAATTCTTAAGCACAGCCTGACTATATAGCAATATAAAAATCATGAATTTACTGCTGTATCTTACACCTACCAGGACTGGTCCTGGGATTCCTGCTGTACTCTGTTCAGAAGCTTGTGCCTCAACCAGATGGGTGAGGGTCACCCGTGGAACCTCATTTACAGCCCCCAGCTCTACCCACCGAAAAAGAATGGGGTTTGGGGGGATGTGCAGCCTGGAGGGTGTTGAAAAGCCTCCCAGGACCCTGGGATTTATCAAGAGGTCCTGATCATGCGGTCACAGCACAAATTGGTGGTGGCAAGTTCCTTGGGCCCTGCCTTTAGAGGCTTCCCAGAGAGCCCCCATCCCCACCCCCCGCCCCCACTACTTTTGCTGAAACAAGGACCCCACTCCCTTTCCACTGCCTCCAGCCCTAGTTGTTACAACATCAGCAAGGGCTCAGGAGCAAAGTACTTGAAACTAATTACTGCCTGGCTGCGGGAAATTCACTTTCTCTGAGCCTTGGTTTCATCTCCTGCAAATGGGAGAAAAGCTTGAGATATCTGTTTTGTGCACCATGGAAGAATGTGGGAAAATAGTCAGAAGCTGCGGGAAAGGGACTTTAGTTCATCTTCCAGAGATGATATGTGTTGTGCCAAAAGGTAACGGGTGGCCATCAGTAAAAGTATGCAGGCAGGGCCCGGAGGTCTGGCCAGACTGCGGGGACGCAGGGGAGAAACTGCAGAGGCCTCATTCTTGCAACCCTGGGCCTCTGTGATTGCAGGTCCAGAAGGCCCAGAAAATGTGACCCAGGAATCTTCCCCAATGATGACCTCACCCCCCAAGTGGCCTCCTGCAAAAACCACTTAGATAAATACAAAATATTTTTAACCAAAACACACTGCCAAATCCAAAAGTGCAGGGAGGAAATGAAGGTTTGAATTACAGATTATGACCACAGGAAGACAGTTCAATAACCGTTACTGGTTCTATTTGCAAGGCCTGACTGGGTAAAGAGCTAAACTACTCACTGCTGGCCTGAGCTGCTCCAGGACAGCTCAGCAGAAGCCCACCGAGAGGGAGAAGGCATGGTTCCCGGGTCTGAACAGCTACCTGGGGAAATTCCAGGGATTCCCCTGCCGAGAAGCATAACTTGCAGGCGGCGCCAGGAGTTGCCGGGCTGGGCAAAGTTGGTCACATACGGAAAATTGTTTCTTTCATGTTAGTAAAATATGAATCTGAGGCCTGCTGAAGAACAGAGGGAAGGCTAGAGGGCCCAGATTATCCGGGCGCCCGCCTGCCTTCCCCCCTGGCTCTGGCAGCCCTACTCATCTCAGGCTCTCTGTGATTTCACCGGGATTTTTTGGTAATTGTGTATTTTTCCAACAGACGATTACATTTCCAACTTGCGTAAGCTAAGTGTGCTCGCCTTCGTTTCTCTCCTTGAATCCTCTGGGTAGCCCGTGGATAACCACAGAAACTGCAGCTTGGGGAGGAGGAGTTGGAGCTGTGTCCTAGTTCCAGGCCCTGCTCTGGCTTCTCCCCACTCCTGCTGGAAGCTGAGCTGCAGGATAACCCTGGGGGGGTGGGGGGTGGGCAGGCTGGCGGCAGGGCACTAGGACTTCACAACCAGGACGAGTCTAGCAGACTCCTGTTGGCACCAAGTGCAGACAAGATCCGTCCTCGCAGAGCCAGTTAGAGCTCAGAGAGCTGCCTGCCCTTCAGCTTGGGCCCGGAGTGGCCTGTCTGCCTGGTCAGCTGTCTGAATCCCACACTTTGCTTAGCAGGAGGGCGCGGCAAGTCCAGGGTCTCCCCAGTGGGGACAGCAGTGTGAGCTGCCTGTCAGCCCCAGCGTGGCAACCTCCACCCGGTTCGTGCTCCTTTCTACCGGCCAGCTCCCCAGCTTGTATGGTGACCACCTCTTGCTGCCAAGTGTGACGACAGTATTGACGTGCTCAGGAAGCAGCAAGGCCCATCTCTGCTCAGGCTTGTGGACACCAATTCACGTCCCTCTTTTGCATTTTATCGACCAAAAGATGGAGGTCCAGAGGTGAAAATGGCTTCTCCTAATCTCATGGCAGATCTGGGTCTTCCGAGTCCCACTCTGGGCTCTCCATGTACCATGCAGCACTAGAGTAGGACACCAGGGACACACACTAGCTAGAAAGCAGTGGGACCTCCAAATGAGACTTGTTCACTTCGATGGAGGCCTCTGGGACACTTTGCATTTATCCCCAAGGAGATACCATGTCTCAAACCCCTATGGAACCCCCGGGGGCCTGGCTCCCCAATCCTGCCTACCTTCCCCCTGGTGCCCTCAGCCACACTACAATTGCATGATGAAGTCCAAACTCTGTGGCTTGGCATTTGAGGTCCTTCCCAGCACAGCTCAAACCGACCTTCCTTTCATTCAGGACTTACTGGATGTCCACCGCGTGCCATATAGTCACCAGGCATAAAATGTGAATCTTATGTGGCCCCTCCTCATAAAGAGCCCACAGCCTGGTGGGGGAGGTGGACCCAGAAGTAGAGACTTAGCACACAATCTGGGGAGCCGCCAGGGGCAAAGCACACTACCCAGCAATGGAAGGATGGGCTACCACGGAGCACTCCCCACATGAGGCACCACGGGGCCTTATCTCACTCCTTGGGGTCACCCTGTAGGGAAGGACTGTGAGCAGGTTTCTGAGAACACAGAAAAGCCTTTCTGAGGAGGAGATGCCTGAGCTGGGGTGTAGCAGTGAGGAAGTGGTAGCCATGAAAGGAGGGGAAGAGGTGTTACTGGTGGAGGGGTCACCACAGGGGAGAGATAATGTGGGGAGCCAGGGGGCTAGGAGTGTCTGGAGTGGTGGGGGGAACGGTGACAGGAGGCAGGCCTGGAAGAGTATGGAGAGGACAGTGCCTCTGGCTGTGCACCTTTGTGCCTCTTCTGTGGGCTGGGAGCTGTGGAAAGGCCCTACACAGAGGCTGACCTGGTTTGACTTCCAGCCTCCCCAACCCCTGCTCGGCACAGACCTTCTGTTCCGTCAACATGCTGGGCCAAGCCTGCCCCTGAGCCTCCCTTGGTGGTGTGTCCCAAGCTGTGGCCTCCATGTAGCCAGGGGTGGTCAGGGATGTGCTGTGCTAGTGAGTCCCTCTTTACGCAGTAAGGTCCAGCCCACACTGACCCCCCTCCCATTCCTCCCCAAGGCTCAGGATTTCCCTGATCTGTTCCAGTTTTTGTAAATCCTGACCCTTGAGGGGACATGATTTGTTTATGGGGCTGGAGGGAGCCAGGAAGGCTGGTGTACTCTGGGTATTCCTCTTAGCCCACTTTCCTGGTCCCCACCTGTCATTCCCCTCTGAGTTTTGGTCCCTTTCTCTTCACACTCATTCTCTCTATCTCTGGGCATAGAAGAAGCGTGTTTCCATGCTCTGGTTGGCTGTAAAGCTGCAGAAAGCGAGGGCTCCGCCACCTTGGTGGCCTTGGAGGAACTACGTAGGCTCCCCCAGGGTTTTCCCACCCAGGAAAGGGGTCGGCAGTGCTTACTTGGCAGGGTTCTTGGGAGATTGTTATAGGTAGTACAGTAGAGCTCCTGGCCCACAGTAGACTCTGGAGAAATGATAGCTTTTGATGGATTCTTTTCCTTTCTCTCTTCCCTCCACCCCCCACCCATCTTCCCTCCTCCTCTTTTCCTCTCCCCACTTTCTCCAGAGGAGCTGGGAATACCCTCCCCATCACCCCCACCCCACCTGAATCTACCCCCCCCCCCATTTTCCTTCCTGTCTCCTGCTGAAGCGTATCTTAACGGGGAACTGAAGTTTGCTCTTGGTTTTATCTATTAAATGCCTTTACATTTCGCTGTTGTTAATTTTTAAAGCATGTGAGTGGAGCGTTTTCTGTGTCTTGCTTCACTGGTTCAGTGTTCCTGGTTGACCCATCTTTCTCCCAGGATAGCCCTGGGTGGAGTCAGCCAGTCCTGCTCTGAGGGCAACTTGAGGTAGATGCCACCGGGGCAAAGAGGGGCTCCTCAGACCCAAGTCTCCCCTCCCCCCACCCCTGGGAAACTCCATTTATCCCAATCTGCTCAACTGAAGCTCAGTGTTTCCAAGTGGCTTTGTATTCTGACTAAATTAAGACTCTCGTTCCTCCTTTCCGTGGCCTTTTATGAACCTGCCCGGCATTAATTACCATGTTTGTCACCGGGTAATAAAAATCTCTGAACTCCCTGCCACCAGATTATCTTTTTAAAGAAATGCAACTCATTTACAGTTAATAACCAGAGGCCCTGCCATCCTTGGCCTGCAAAAGCGACATGATTTATACACCCGAGTGAGCCCGTGTGCCTGTGTGCCAGATGATCGTGCTCAGGATGGCCCTGGGTTCCCCGAGTCTCAGGCTGGGTCTTCCTTTCTACCCCTGTTCCTTCAGGGCTCAAAGGCTGCTGGTCAGAGGCTTGCTCCCCACCCACACATGGCCCTGGGGGACCACTGAGGCCAGTGGACGAGACTCGCCACCCGGGTGTCCCCTCGGTGAGGCCCTCCTGGCAGCCTCAGCAGTTGGAGATAATGTTCCTGTCCTCTCTCCTCACAGACCACGTCTCGGTTGGAGGACTTGGGGATAGTTTTTATGAATATTTGATCAAATCCTGGTTGATGTCGGCCAAGACAGATGTGGAAGCTAAAGAGATGTACTACGAAGCCTTGGAGGTAAGACAGGCACCTCATTCTTCACGGGCGGTTGGTCATTCACCATTGGGCACAGATCCCTGAGTGCCAGGGGCTTGCCACCCCTCCCCCGTGGCGAGCTGGCCAGAAAAACAAGATGGTCTCCTCCCCAGCCAGGTGCTTTGCACACCCAGCTTGTGACTCTTCTCGAATGCCTTGAAATTAGGGCCGTGTTAGCATCCTCGTTTTACAGATGCAAAACCCACACTCAAGGAGGTAAAGCCATTTGTCCGAGGTCTCACAGGAAGCAGTCTGATTCAGAAATCGTGGTGTCTGGGCTTCCGTGAGTGTGTCAGAGCCCAGAACACAGCCAGACACTGGCCTGGGAGCCCACAGATGAGGCTGCCAAAGCAAGACCCTCAGCCATCTTCCTGCAGAACCAGAGGTGATGTAATTGGCATGTCCAGGTGAGGAGGGGCCTCCCTCAGCGGAGCATCCAGTTCTGCTCCTTCTCTTTATGTGGATGGAAAACCAAGGCCCAGAGAGGGGAAGGCACTTGCTCAAAGCCACACAGCACAGAGCTGGAGCCAGAGCCAGATCTTCTAACCCCGTCCCCGTGTCCCCTCACTGTCCCTCACCACTGCTGGTCTGTATCCAGGATGTGAACTGAACAAAGGATGGTAGGCTGAGATGAGTCTCTCCAAAGAAAGGGGGACTTTAGGATGGAAGAAGAAGTTGGTTAGCCCAAGCTATGGAAAAGGGGGCTATGGAATCCCAGTAGCCCATCAGTAGATACTTCTGAGCCCAACTAAGGAAAGGGCACTGGGTAGGCTCTGAGCCTCAGTTTCCCCATAAAGTAAGTCAAACAGTTTGTATCTGCTCTGCTACCACCATGGTCTGAGGTCGTGTGCCCCCTAAACTTGACTTCTTGCTCCCATCCCCTTTTACATTGGTTCTCCCTCCACACAGCAGTCAGAAGAACTGGAAATTCATGTTCCTACCTCACTGGCTCCCCGTCATACTTAGAATAAGCTAGACTCCTCACCTTTGCCCACCTGATGGAGACCTACCAATCACCTTGAACTCTTTCCCCTTTACTTTCAGCTCTGGTCCCCAGTCTTCCTCAGACATCAGATTCATTTCCACCTCAGGGCTTTTGTACTTTCTGTCCTCTCTACCTAGAATAGCATTCAAATGGTGGGTCCCATTTGTTGGTCAAGCCAAATGCCACGGAAACTGGCCTTGCACAGTCTCTCTCTGTCACATACTATAGACTTACTCTTCTTTGCTTTCATATGCACTTGTTTACTTGTTCATTGTCTGCCTTCCCCAAAAAGAATGTGAGTTATTGAGAAGCAAGGAGCTTGTCTAGTCACTCACCCTGTCTGCCTCACTCCTAAAACTGTGCTTACTACATAGGAAGTATACAATATTTTGTGAACAAATGAACATACAATTGCTGAAGGGATAGGTGGGTGGATGGATAGATGAATGGATGGGTAGGTGAGTGGATGGATGGATGGATGAGTGGATGGGTGGATCAGTGGGTGGATGGATGGGTGGTTGCATAGAGATGGGTGGGTGGATGTGTGGGTAGAAGGATGGATGGGTAGGTAGGTAGAGGATAGATGGGTGGATAGGTAGATAGGCAGGTGAAAGGATGGATAGGTGAAAGGATAGATGGATAAGTGGACGGGTGGATGTTATAGAGGGATGCGTAGGTGGATGTGTGAGTGGAAGGATGGATAGGTAGGTAGGTAGAGGATGGATGAGTAGATAGAAGGATGGACAGGTGGGTGGATATGGTGGATGGATAGATGGGTGGATGTGGGTGGAAGGATGGATGGGGAGGTAGGTAGAGGATAGATGAGTAGATAGGTAGATAGATAGGTAGGTGGGAGGATGGACAGGATGGATGGGTATGAACAGTTGGATAGATGAATGAATGAACTCTACCCTCTGACTGCATGAATCTGGCCGGGAATGGTCATGCCCAAGGGAAGCACATTGAAACAGGCCTCCACAGCCATGGACCTTTTAAACTGTGGACGTGGGGATGAGTTTTCCCCACCTAGCTCCCCAGCACCAGGACCTTGATCATGAAACAGCTGCTGGGACTCTAGTCCCATCTCAGTCTGAGTCTTAGCCCTGGCTTCGGCTTTGGCTGAGCTTAGACCACAGCCAGTGTCTGCTGTCAGAGGATCAGTGTTCTGCCTGCATGGGGTATGCTGCCTGGAAAGGCCTTTCTGCACTTTCTGCCATTCCTTGCAGGGTAAACATGAAGTTAGCAGGCAGCCTGGTTCCTTGCCCTCAGGGCACACTGTGGTTGAGGCTTCAAGGGAAGAAATGGCCATGAATTATTTAAGCAAACTGGAAGCTTTATGGAAACTACTTGATTGAACAGGAGAGAACTTGGCTTTGCTCCCCTCATTTGATATCCCCAGTGAATAGCCTGGAGTGTCTCTGACCCTGGGTAAAGACTGGGCCTCTGGCAAGTTTAGGGCTTTGAAGAATATTCTGGTAATTCTCAACCTTGTCCACACGTTAAAAATCACTGGGAGGAACTGTAAAATCCCATTGCTCAGGCTGCACCCTCACAAGGATACATCAGAACCTCTGGGCAGGGGCCCAAGAAACAGCCTTGAAAGCTGCCCCAGGGGGTTTGCTGCTGTCCAGCAGAGGGTGGGTGAGGATGATTCAGACAAGCTGACCAGGCACAGCCCTGAGGGCTACGGGAAAGCATCTGTCACTGTGGCCTCCTCCAGGCCAAGTGCACAGACTGCCTTGTCTTACTTAGCCCCATCTTAAAGGTGAGAACCTGAGGTCACATGGCAGCCAGGGTGCAAACACAGATCTGACTGACTCCAGATCCAGTGCTCCTGCCACCTGCAAAGGAACCTGGCTTGCCTGAAATCCCTCTGGGGAGTGGACAGATGGGATCCTCTCCAGGAAGCAAAGGATGCCAGAGTCTTTGAATAAAACCTCACGGCTATCCCAGGAGTTATTCCCATTTTACAGATGAGGAGAGGGAGTCTTCAGAAAAGTGAAATAATTCGCCCAGAATCACCCAACTCTCACGTTGCAGAGCTGGGATTCAAGCCCAGTTCTCTATATTCTCCCTCAGTTCTTCTTGCCTCCTGTACCATTTAAACCTAACCAGTCAGTGGCCAGCCTGTGCCATCTTGTGTGTGTTGCTTAGAGTTTTAGAAAGCCTTGTTTTTTTGAATCTTTGTACCTATCTGCTTATCTCAGTTTATCCTCACAGAGAGATGGCCTGTCATTTCCTCTTCACCATGATTACTTTGCTTGGGGTTAACTCAAAATGGAAATAACCTATGGGTGCCAGTCTTGAAGGGGCAGTTTCTGTGCTACCACATGAGGCTTCATGGACTCTCCCCCAGGTGTCGACAAAGGGTGACTGAACCAGATCTCTGCACCCTAGACTAGCCTGCCACCCCTCCTCCACACCCACATGGACCCAGCTCTGCCTAGGAGCCTGGGCCCTGCACAGAGCAGAGCCAACCCAGTAGTGGGCAGCTGCCCAGACCCCCCCAGAGCTCCTCCCGCCATGGTGCAGGTGCCCTGGCATGTCATCATCAGAGCTTCCCCATCTGCTGCTCAGAGACCGTCCTGCAGCCAGCCCACCAGCCGGGACCTTTCAGGAGGGGGAAAGGAACAAACAGATCCAAGAGCCAGTATTGTTTGAGCACCATCTGTATGCCTGCCCCTGGCTGGAGATTGGTGGTGGTGGCCTCTGCTGTCACAAGGCACTCAGAGTCCTGGAAGAGAGACAGAGTTGCCCCAGAACACACACAGATATGGATGCACAAAGTGGGGACAGCACCATGTAGAAAGATAAGAGGGGAGGCGAGTACAGGGGCAGCAGTGGCTCGGTCTGGGGCAGCACATTGTGGAGGATAGAGTAGCAGAGTTGAGGAGGAACGTGTTTCTTTCAAAATACTGACCCCAAATCATAATTCCCACATGTATTTGATTTTGTTGGGAATCTCTACAAACAGGTAAGCTCCCCAAGGCAGGGCCCAGGCTGTGTGTCTTCAGGGGTTTCATCCCCTGCACCGAACCACCGACGGGGGCACAGAGGAGGCACTCCTAGCATACTCGAATACTCACAGGAAGGGGGAAGGTGTGAGTGAAAAAGAGGCCTGGGGCAGGGGACAGACTGGAGAGGAACTGGAATATATTGCCAACACACACTGAGGACTCTCCCCCAACAAGTGTGCTGAGCTCTACACACACATCCCCTTGAGCCTCACAATCCTGTGAGGTGGTTTACGCTCACATTCCCATTTCATACATTTATTTGGCAATTGAGGCACAGAGAGCATATAGAACTTGCCCAAAGTCACACAGCTTGGAACTGACAGAGGTGGGATTTGAACTCAAGGAATCTGCTCCTGGGCACCCTGCCTGTGGTATCAGGTTAAACTTAAGGCCCATTATTTACAGAGAACAGAGACCCCTAGAGAATAGGTGGGAGGGGCAAGAATGCAGGAAGATACCGGCCAGGGCCCCAGAGGCCCAGCCCTGGACCAGCATCCACAGGCACTGCAGTTACCTCTGTCTCCAGGGCTCCCAGGGACTAACAGCAGGGAGTGGGGGGGCACCATGGCCTGACACCTGCATCTCCCAGCCTCCTTGGAGTCTTTACCAGCAGTATCATCTCCCACGGAAGTTGAGGATGGGGGTTCTCAAAGCCCCTTGGCACCAGGAGGAGCAGCTGTCAGGTACTAGAAGAGCAGCCTGGGTATCTGGGGATCCTCGTCTTAATCCCAGCATGGCTGGGTAACCTGGGGCGAGCCCCTCGACCCCTTTGTCTGTAGAGGACATTAGATCCATGTGCTTTACTTATCGTGGTCATTAAACTAGGTGTATGATAAGGGCTTGCAGAGAGCAGCCCTTAACTTTCTGTAGGTCCTTTTTGAGAATCAGATAAAATCTATGGACCCTCTTCCCATGAAAATGCACATACACAAAAGTGTCACATACAATTTGAGTGGCCTCAGGACCTCCTGAAACCCATCCACAGGCCAACTTGGCTTCAGGTTAAGATTCCCTAACAGAGGATATAGTGGAGGATGGATAAGAATTTTTAAAGATTTTTTTAAATCTTTGTACATAGGAGATTTAAAAGTTTAAGAGGAGCGCCTGGCTGGCTCAGTTGGTAGAGCATGTAACTCTTGATCTCAAGGTTGTGAGTTTAAGCCCCACACCGGGTGTAGAAATGACTTAAAAATAAATTTTTTTTTAAGTCTAAATGAGAGACTCATTCTGGGGAGTTGTCTTGTGTCCAAGCCCCCAGCAGGCACCAGGCTTCAGCCAAGTGAGTGGCTAAACCTCCTAGAGGCCCCATCAGGGGCCACCGCCAGCTGCCGGCCGAGGTCAAGGACCTCCTTCGCCTGGGATGGAGGGCTCAGCAGAGCTGCGTTCACTGCTATCTGCAAAATGTTCATTTTTCCGTCCTCTCCCCCTCCCTTCTCTGTCCCCCTTCCTACGCCCCTTCCCCCTGCCCAACTCCCACCTTGCTCCCAGGCAATAGAGACCTACTTGCTGAATGTCTCTCCTGGGGGGCTGACCTACATTGCTGAGTGGCGAGGGGGGATTCTGGACCACAAGATGGGGCACCTGGCCTGTTTCTCTGGGGGCATGATCGCCCTCGGCGCTGAGGATGCCAAGGAAGAAAAGAGGGCCCACTACCGAGAGCTCGCAGCCCAGATCACCAAGACGTGCCACGAGTCGTACGCCCGCTCAGGTAACCCTGCAGGGGGAAGGGGCAGCAAGAGACACTGAGGCTAGACACCAGGAAGAACCAGAAAAACCAGCGGAGCGGCAGTGAGTGAAGGGAACACACAATCTTAGGGCGGTCTCACCTTGGGAGTTATGTAGAATTTGTATGAGGGACGTGCTGTCTATGCACTGAGACTGTACCCTAAGTTACAAGGAAAACAGGGGTGATGTATTAAGCATCTGTGTCAAGTGTTGTTCAGCACTGGATGTGCATCATCGCCGAACCGCACAACACAGATAAACTGAGGCCCAGAGAAGACTTGCCAAGATCCTATGTGAGGGGCACAGAGCAGAGGGTCCTCCAGGTTTCCTGAGCCTAGCAGATTCCTTCGCCCTGAGCCCTTACCCCTGAATGTACCTCTGCCTTTCCTCCCCAGCACCCCTCCATTTAGGGGGTCTTACCACCTCTGGCCCCACCCTGTTTATCCCCCTCTTTGACCACCAGACCACTAGAAAGTTCAAGAGCTTCTTGACCATCCCCACCTAACAGCCATTACAGACTTGTCAAATGCTAGAGTCAGAAGTCATGTTGTAGAACAAGAGCCCAGCTCCCGGTCTTACATATGGGGAAACTGAGTCAGTCCAGAACGGGGAAGTGACTTCGCCAAAGTCACATTGTGCATGATGAGTAGCTAAGCCAGGGCTAGAACCCAGGTCTTCTGATGCCCAGCTCCTCCTTGTGCATTGCCTCTCTAAACAATGCCCCTCAAAAAAATCCATCCCCCAGGGCCCTGAGAGGTGTCCACTGCTCTAATTTAATCCCAGTCTTGGTTGGAGGAGAGGACCTAAAATTTGCCATAAATATTCCTGGCTCAAGTGCCACTCTACCACTCACCAGCGGGATGGCCTGCGTTTTCTCATCGGTTCAACGGGATAAATAACACAGGTCTCCCAGATGAGATACCGGTCCCCTAGAAAGCACATTGCTGGCCGCCTTCAGCCCCAGCATGGAAGGCATGTGTTAGCTCGAAATGTGTCTCTGACCCCCCCACCCAGGCGAGTCCAGATCTCCCAGGGCTGTTTTCATGAAGCCAGAGATTCTCAATGGGTCTGCAATTCCCTTCAAAGAGCCGGGGCCGTAAACAAATAGGAAATCTCAGGAATAATAAAAAGCTCACGATTTGTCTGGGACAATCAAACCAGACCATAAAAGACATCCACTTAATAGAGCATGCTGTTCCAGCCACCCTGCCCGTCCAGGGACAGCCACAGCGGGCGCCCGTGCCCCCACCCCATCAGCTGCTTGGCAAAATGACTCTTAGCTAGCAGCCAGGAGCAGCTGCAAGCATCTGAGAAATCGAAGGGGTCAGGGTCTGGCTAACTGGGTTCTATGTAGAGCTCTCCATGGAAGAGTGGGATGTCCTGCAAAGCTCCAGTCCTCTTGAGAAAAAACAACCCAGGGCCTCCCAGGGTCCTGACCTGATGGGAAAAGGAAGGCACACCTAGGACCAGAGCCGGACACTCTGCTGACCCAGACAGGGGGTGCAGGCACTAAGATGGAGGAGGATCTGACCCATCTAGCCTCATCTTGGGGCCTTCTTGGACCCAGAAGGGAAAGAGCAAGAGCACAGTCTAGGGAGAGGGCATCAGATGGATCCAGGGTCACATCCCAGCTCAGTCATAGCTCGCTGTGTTACCTTGGACAAATTACTTAGCCTCTCTGACCCTCAGTTTCCATATGCCTGAGAGGGACAGTAACATCTACCTTTAGCAAAACAAACAAACCACATTTTTTAAGGATCAAAATAATGTATCTAAAGCACACAGCACAGTCCTTGAAATCAGAGGTGGTGGCCGTTGCGGCAGTTATAATTATGATCCTCCAGAAAATAGGAATGGCTACCAAACTGTCCAAAAACAAATAAACCAAACAGTGACAGAAACAAAACGCAGACCTCATCAAGCCCTCTTTATCTAGCTGCTTCTGCCTGAATATGTGCCTTCTGGGCATTTCTTCCTTGTTTCCACCTCAGCAGCGCCCCAGCCTGTCAGCTCTGGAAGGTTCTTAGTTCCTAAGAAAGGGGTCTGTTTGCATATCAGCATGTCAAAGGATCTGATGAGACTATTTCACTTTATTTGACCTACTGTTCCCCAAAAGTACTTAAATCTGAAATCCTTTCTTGGCTGGTTAACATCTTACAGAGCTAATGTCTTCAAAGCACGGTTGGGGAGCATCACCCAAAACTTTTTCTCCCCACATTGCTGGATAGCTCATTTGGACTCTCAGATTCTAAAACTGCAAAATGTTTGAGGCCTCAGGGGTCTTGCTTTGGCCTGCCTAGGCCAAACGGAGAACTGTGCATTTGCCAGGCTCAGCCCTATCATGCAGTGTAGGCAGGGCCCAGCCTGTACCAGTCACCCTGCCAGTGGTTGCAGGCCACTGAGATCACTCCTGAGGCAGCTGGATCCTGAAAAGCAGGAGGTGGGAGGTCTGACCCAGGCCCTCTGGTTGGTCCTCCCCACAGATACCAAACTGGGGCCCGAGGCCTTCTGGTTTAACTCCGGCAGAGAGGCAGTGGCCACACAGCTGAGCGAGAGCTACTATATCCTGCGGCCCGAGGTGGTGGAGAGCTACATGTACCTGTGGCGACAGACCCACAACCCCATCTACAGGGAGTGGGGCTGGGAAGTGGTGATGGTGAGTGGGCCGGTTGGGGCGGGAGGGGGGTGGTTGACTGGGTGACCAGTGCCCTGAGAATTCAGTCAGGATCCAGCACCCCCTAGCTCGAGCACTGAGAAGAAGGTCAAACCAGGTTGGCATCTGGCTAAGGTCCCGAGTGCAAAGGGTCAAGGTGCGGTTGCAGAGCCAAGAGTCCCCAGGTGGGCAAAAGCAGGCCAGGAACTTGTGAAGGGGGTTCTGTGCGCCCACAGCCTTTGGGGCCCAGGCTCCAGGGCCAGCGCGCTTAGATGGCTAGAGGCAGGGCGGCAGCCAGAGGGGCCCAGCGCACACGTGGTCACTGCTGTCTGACCCTGAAGCCTGAGAAGATGGCTTTAGATTCCTCCCCTCAGACAGGAATGGGCTGCCAGGCCAGCAGATCACCTCCTTCCTCTGCCCAAAGCCAGCCCCGCCCTGGGCAGCTCCCCCTCTTTCTCTGGGCTCTGCTCCCCAACACCCATGTCTCCTCCACTAGCCCGCTTGTCCCCAACCACCCAGCAGGAGACCTCATGGCCCTCTTTGGGGTAGGTGTCAAAGGCAGGTATGGAGAGCCCAGAAGGATGTCTCTTGATGGAGGCTAAGCCTTCTCTGTGCCCCCCTCTTCCCAGCTTCCCTGAGAGTCTGCTCTCAGAGGCACAGACTGTCCTAGGGAGAACCATGCCCAGAGCGTCATAGGCAGGGAGGGCACAGGGCACCACTCGGGTTCACCTACCTGGTTCATTGGCCAGAATCGGCCTGCTTTCCTGAAGGCCCTGGTTCTTGACCAGTGAAAGCCAAGTGTTTTGTGCTCCTGGGCCCAGCCCACAGGCCCTCAGTGGGTTCAAACTGCTTTATATACAAAAGGCAGACAGCCTGTGGCCTCCCGCGACCAGGGACCGTATCTCCAAGGGAATCCCCGGGGTGTGCTAAGCCCAGTCCCCGAGTCCCGGCCCTCTGCTGCCTTCCTCTGTCCACCTCTGTAGGTGAGTCCATTAGAGCAGCCTGGTTACCCGAAGGGCAGAAACAACACCCCCCCAAGTTCAGAGACCAGGAGAAGAGCTGGAGCAGGCAGCCAGTGGGCTTAGGTCGTCAGCCCCGGGGGCAGGGCGGCTGAGTCCTGAAAAGTAATTTGGCTTTCCACTGCCACAAATGCCAGGGGTCCCCGCTGAGTGGTCCGGGGCCTGCCCGTCCGGGACCTGGGCACGCACGAGTCTTGGGGCAGGACCTCTCCTCTCCCTGTACCAAAGCTGCTCCCTTTTCTTCAGGCCTTGGAGAAATACTGTCGAACGGAAGCTGGTTTCTCTGGAATCCAAGACGTGTACAGTAGCATCCCCAACCACGACAACAAGCAGCAGACTTTCTTTCTCGCGGAGACACTAAAGTGAGTTGGGGCTTGGCTACTGTTCTTTCCAGAGGGAAACTGGGACTTTCTTAGGGATGGAGGGAGGAGGAGGGTGAGGCGTGGGGTCAGCAGTCCCTCCCTTTACCAACAGTCAAATTCTGCCCTCACAGAGGGTGCCCACGAGGGGTGGGGGGTGCCTGGGATCCCGGGTTACACCCCCAAGGTGCACCGCCTCAGAGGGCTGTCTGGACAGCCTGCAAGGACTAGGCGTGCTAAGTCCACTTCTGTAGCCGGTCTCCTCGGGTCCCTTGGTTCTCTGCTGTAAAATGGGGAGAACAACAGTGATGGGGGTCACTGGGGTAGGCCTTCCCTATACCGGCTTGCTGTGGCACTGTTCCCTCACTTTTTGGGGGTGGATGTCAGCCGCCCCATTTCCTTGCTGTTCCCCAAAGCAGCCCCCTTGGTGGTTAACCCTTTACCGTGGATTGGAACGGTCCGTTCCTGCGGCTTGGGAAGTTGGAGCTCTGGAGTCCCAGCTCCCTGTTCATTTTAGCGCGTGAACATCTACATGAGTGTAGTCTCCTGGGGGGCACATCAGGGAGCAGTCCAAGAGTTTGGACTGGTGCAGTACTCAGGCCACTGTGAAAAGAAGGAAGAATCTAGGCCCTAAGGGGGGCCTGCAGGCCTCTCGCACAGGTGGGGAGAGTACCTGAGTGAAGCCAGATGGGTATGCGGTAACCCAGTGAGGGCAGGGGCAGAGCCAGTGCTAAACCGGGTCTGAAAAAAATAAAATAAACCGGGTCCATTGGCCCCAAATCTCAGTGCTCTCCCCAGCATCCACAGCTCCTTCCCTGGGACCAGCCCTGCAAGTACACTTGGGATCTCAAACCTCCTTGCAGCCTTCAGCATAGCCCATGGCAGAGGCCTCTGAGGTTTGTCGTTGACCAGGGTTCCCCAGAGCACTGACAGCTCTGTCTTGCTTCCCTCCCTGCCCCGGGGGCACAGGTATCTCTATCTTCTGTTCTCTGAAGATGACATGCTCTCCCTGGAAGACTGGGTGTTCAACACAGAGGCCCACCCCCTCCCCGTGAACCACTCAGACAGCTCCAGCAGGGCTGGGGGCTGACCCTGACCCGTCTCCCTGCCGCACCGGGGCCCCAAGGGCTGCCTTGCCTTTTCAGGATGCGGGACTATTCTCAAAGGGATTGGGAACATAGGCCCCATTCCAGGCAGACCCAGGGCAGATGTGTCGGACGAGCAACTTCTTTTCCTCTGTGAGGAGACAGGACTTGGAGACGCAGCGATGTCACCCCAGGCCCAGACTTTCCTTTCTATGGAGAATTTCTATGAAACCCACTCCCTTGCCATTCCAGGGCCCAGTGAATGAAGGTTTGCATATTGTCCCCATGTCTTTGATTCACTTCCTCTCATTCGGGGAGTGTTTGTTTTGCTTGATTTTGCCTTTTCTCTGCAGTTGTGTTTTATCACAAATTATAAATATAGTTTCAAAATCGTGTGCTTTTGAAAGCAGCAGCATCTTGATAAACTAAACCTTAAGGTGTTTGCACACTCAAACCTTGACCCCATTTTCTATATTTTAAATACCTTTTACCCAACATTTACTATACGTTCAACTATGTGGCATTACCTTATAATTTGAGGAGGCATTCCCTTTTGATTTGGGCCTAAGTGTTAACAAATCACTAGTGCTATTTTCATTATTGTAATGGAAAAATCTGTAAACTTACAATAAAAGAGTTTATTGAATAAGAAATACGATTGGGCTCATTGCACATCAGTGACTCCTGGGAAAAACATGGTCATGTTATCATCAGAAAAAATAATCAACCAGCAGTTGATTTAACTTACAATTTAGTAAAGACTCCCACTTCTATTGCCTTCCCTTAAATTGGTCTTAAAAATTCAGAAAGGGTGAAGCCAATCCTTTAAATGGAGTTGGATGTTTATACTTAGGTCAAGGCTTGGAAGAGGCCCAGAGAGGGCCAGCAACTTGCCTGTGGTCACGCAGCCAGCAGACACAGAGGTGAGCCCAGCCCCCACAGTTTGCTCACTACCCCAGTCGTGTGTCCATCTGTTCACATTCAGCAGATAGTGGTGAGTGCCCATAGGAGACCAGACACTGGGTGAGATGCCAGGGACGCAGCTGTGAGTGAAACAGTCATAAGCCCTGCCCTCAGGGAGCATAGAGTCAAGTGGGGGAAAGACCATAAAGTAAACCAACAGATAAGTTACATGACTGCCAGTTGTACGAAATGCTACAAAGGAGATGTGAGGCCGAGACACTGTTGGCCAGGACCCACCTTAGGGCATCAAAGAGAGCCTCTCTGAGCAGCTGACTTTCAAGCTGAGACCTAGAAGATAAGAAGGAGCAGCGGAAGGTGTATCCCACAAACCTTCTCTCCCCAGTGACATCATCTGCTCCCCCCACCCACCCTGAGGCCCAAAACCTTGAAGCCATTATGCAGAGCAGGGCGTCCAGGCAAGAGCGAAGGGAGAGTGTTTCTTCCCCTTTGCAACTCGTCCATACAGCTGACCACACAGGATCATTCTGAGCCCTCCCCCGTGCTCAGCTGCCTCACTTTGGCTGTTAGAAACTTGAGTAGCCCTTGGGGTATTGGAGCCCTAGGCCAAGTGACCTGGCTTTCAGGCCCCTCAGTGGGACCCTGGATAGGTCACCTCACCTCTCAGGTCACTCTTCCATCACAGAGGGAGGAACCTCCACCTCTCAGGGTTGCTGTAAAAATAAGTAGGATCCACTCATGCCCTGGCAGCGTGGGAAGTACTTCTTCCTCATTCTGGAGAGGCAGAAGCTTCCAGCATCTTCTTAAGCAGTAGTCAGGGCTATGGATGAGCTGTCCCCAAGGCAGGAACCCTGGTGTTTGGTGAATAAGTCCCGGTCTGAACCCAGGAAATCACTTTTGTCTGGCATCAGGAAAGTGTAGTTCTGGAGACCCGCCTGTGCCCCTTTTTTAAAAAACCAAAACGGAAAAACCCACTGTACAAGCATTGTGGAGAGGTTAGAGATCTTCATGCTAAGCAGAAAGAAAAAACCATCCACCATCCTACCCTCCAGAATGAATACGGTTATATTTTCTTCTAGATCTTTTTCTATGAATGTACAGAATATATTTTGCAAACATGGTATCATTCTATGCATACTGTTTTACTATAATCTGCTTTTGCTCTTAACCATATATTGTGAAGATCTTTCCATGTCAACAAATACAAGTTTATCACTGTACCTGGCTGTGGAGTATTCCATTGTGTACTGTATCGTGCTTTTGGGATCTAAGCCCCTATTTCTGGGCATTTAGGTTTGTGAGAGTTTGGGCTCTCAGGCACAAATAGTAGAAGCCAACTCTGTGTACCTTAAGCGAAAAAGAAAAATTACAGAAAAAGGAAAGAGAAAAGAAAAAAAATCTTGAAATGCTTTGCGGTGACTCATGGGATCTCAGGAGAGTGAACAGTCAGATCGCAAGAAGGACTAGGAAGAGGATGTGGCCAGGAATCCAAGCTGTAAGACCCAAGGGGCCAGTGTCCCCAGGACTTCATCAGGACAGGTGAATTCCAACGTTCCCAGATCCTACTGTCCCCTTCAAAGAAGTGGGCTTCCTATTGGCCTAGCTGGGTCATGTGCTCCCACGGGTGGGCAGGGCGTCTTGACAGACAAACCCGCCAGGGCCCCCCCTCCACATCGCCCCCGCCCTGCGATGCCCGGTGGTCTGTTCCCCAGAGAAGAAAATGAGGTTTGCTACCCAAATCATGAAGCCACGCGCTGGTGAAGGCAAAACAGCAGGACTGTTCGCAGCTTCTGCTTTGATTTTTTTTTTCCCCCGGTATTATAAAGAGTTAGGAAAGCATATTTGTCCAGTCCTCTTTCCGGTCTCACTGGCTCCTCAGTCAACCCTGGAACCTGTCTCCATGGCAGAGCCCCTTGGCAGCTCCCCCAGGCCCCAGGCTCCCCCACCGCCGTGTTGCTGTCCCCACCCCCCTCCGGCCACCAGCGTTCTGTCTTCTGCATTATCCCTGGGGGCAAGTTGTAAAAATGAATATTTTAAAACTCATCCTCCAGGAGGGCCGTTGCAGGTGGAGAAATCTCATCCTTTTGGCAACCTAACTCCATTCTGGGGATAAAAATAAGACCCAGGGTAGGCTGAGAGGAGAGAGACATTAAGGGATGAGTCAGCCACGGGGAAGGGGGAGCCACAGACCCGGTTCTGGAAGCAGACCTGGCAGCAGACCCTCTCTCCCCAGCCGGGGGTTAGCCTGCTGCCCGGCTCTTTGGAAGCCCCGTCGTCGATGGAACCACCTTTTGCACCTGTTTTCTTCAGGGCTCACCGCTGGTTCCTGCCCAGAAAGCTTCATTAGCACCTGGCTCCGGGCGGGCGCGGAGTCCTGCAGAGCACCACTGCCCTGAGAAGCAGGACCTACAGCCCTTCTCCAGTTGCTTCCTTTTAAACGACTGCGTTTGTTTAGACGCTTTGTACATCATTGTGTCCCTGGCAATTTGCAAAGTTCAAAAACCAGATGCACCAGGGCGCCTAGGTGACTCAGTCGCTGAAGAGTCTGCCTTTAGCTCAGGCCACGATCCCAGGGACCTGGGATTGAGCCCCCGGGTCGGGCTCCCTGCTCATCAGGAGTCTGCTTCTCCCTCTCCCTCTGTGTACTCTCTCTCTCTCTCTCTCTCTCTCTCTCCTTCAAATAAATAAAATCTTAAAAAAAAATGCACTGGGAAAAAAAGCAAAAACAGAAAATCTGATTTGAAGGCAGCATCCTTGAGACCCAGGCTAGGAATCTCAGCTCTGCCTCCTTTGCTTTGGGGAGGGGACCTCTTCCAGGTTTGGGTAGGTGGGTAGACGGGGAAGGGCCAGCTCCTCCCAGCTACCCCACTGGGGCTCTGTCCTTGGAAATATGCTCATTGATTAAGGGGCACAGAGACGCTCAGCCCTCTGTGACTAAAGCTTAATCATATGCTAGTGGCGGGGCGGGGGGGGGGGGATGCTGATGCTCTTTTTTTTGTATCTAAAAATATCTGCTTGGTTCCCTATATTTGGAACAATATTTTGATCCTGCTCCTCCTGCCTCTTAGAGCTTTTCGAACTTGAATGTGCACCTGAATCACCTGGGGATCTCGTTAAAATGCAGATTCATATTCAGCGGGTCAGGCGCAAGCCCAAGATACTGCGCTTCTAACAAGCTCCCAAGAGATGCCGGTGCTGCCGGGCCTCAGACCACACTGAGTAGCAAGGCTTCAGCTAACGGCCACTCCTTTGGTGTCTGCCCTCTGTTTGCATCACAGAGGGGCGCCTGAGTGGTAGGGTCGGTTAAGCACCTGACCCTTAGTTTCAGCTCAGGTCATGATCTCAGGGTTGTGAGATGGAGCACCCGTCAGGCTCTGTGCTCAGCGTGGAGTCTGCTTGAGATTCTCTCCCTCTCCCCCTGCCCCTCCCCTGCTCTCTGTCAAATAAATAAATCTTTTTTTTTTTTTAATGTATTTGCATCCATGGAGTTGTAACCTCCCCAGAGTGGAGGGACTCAGGTGTTGGCCTGGCATCGAGTGGTACCCTGATGGCAGAGGAAGCTCTGTTGCCTGCATCACCGGCCCCCCTGCCCCTCCAGCACAGTCTGGACAAGACAGGAGCAGGCTTGCTGGGGGCTGAGAACAACGCTGTCCGGTAGAACTTTCCATGGTTGATGGAAATAGTCTACCTCCGTGCTGTCCAATAGGGTGGCCACAGGTGGATATTGAGCACTTCAAATGTGGTGAGTGCAACTGAGGAACTAAATCTAAAATTTTATTCTCATCTTAATTACATTTAAATGGCCATGTGTGGTTACTGGGCGCCAGTTTTGGACAGTTCAGTCCTGGGACCTAGAAAGCCAGTCCTCTGCTCACTGACTCCCTGCCCCACTGGCCCCTCCACCACCTCCCTGCAGCATTACAAATATCATCTTAGAACAAAAGATATTGTGTGGGGAGGCGAGGGTTCCCTTGAACATTCCTGGTTATTTTTATACTCATTCCAGCCTCTGCTTTCCACAACAGTCTCTGGTTTTGTTTTGTTTTGTTCTCACCCACTGTGTATCTGCGGATCTGCAGGCATTGGGTCAAGTGGAAGATAAGAAAGGCAGGACACCAGAGGGCAAACCGTGGACCTGCCCTTTCCCTGGGCTTTGTGACCTTGGGCAAGCCCCTTAACCTCTCTGAGCCTCCGCCTGTCTCTGTGGAAAGGGAGGGTGATTTGGGGGTTAATTGAGCTCCCCAGTGTAGTAACTCAATACATACAGTAATGGTTGTGACTGCTATTATGTGAACGCTCTCTGTAAACTAGAAAAAGCTGCTGTCAAAAATTCTTCTTTTTAAACAAAACGCTCTGAAACTCAGAGGAAACTACATCAACCAGGCCCAGGAGACAACCCAAGATCTCAAAGCAATAAATCTGCTGCTTTTCACATTGAGCAAGCATTTTGCCCTTAGCCCTGAATCTATGAAACTGGGAAACTGGAGTGAGGATCCAGGGGCTTCCTGGGGCTGGCCTGGTTGGTGGTGGTGGTGGGGATGGGATGGGGTTGCTGTTCAGGCAGGGGCAGAGGGCTGAAGGAACATGCTGGGAGCTTGTCCAGATCTTAGCAGAGGCCCCCTGCTTGCCAGGGCGGGAGGTGAGGGGTGGTGGCAGGGGAGGCTCCATTGGTCTTTCCTCTTGAGGACATCCCTGGGGAAAGCTTCCTACAACTTTGGAAGGGAGGCGCGGC